AGTTACCCATTTTATCTGTGCAGAACTGTGTTAATAATATTGTGCATGGAGAAAACAGTGTGTTTTCCTGGTGGAAGAAAAGGTGCTGATAGTGTGTGTGGTGATGACATAGCAGAGCTGAGTGCTGGCGTGGGTGAGCTGTTAGCTGGGAGAGGCCAGGATGGGAAGTCTGGGAAAGTCTTAATGACAGACTAGCGGTGAGACGAGACACGGAGCCATAACCATGAATCACATGGAAATTAATGACTGGGTTCCCATGGTTGGGGCTTGTTTGATGGTAAAACAAAAGCTATCTGGACCACGCAAGCATTATTTACACACACATTAGACAGATTAAGATAGGGACAGGTTGGGAGAGACGGGGGGCAAGGTTAAAGAGCCACTTACGTGGTGTTTGTGATAAGAGGAGGGTAGTAACATGACTGGCAGGTAGATGGGCTGGAGCTAATGAGGGTGTGCAGGACCAGCTGGCTGCCTGGCTGCAGAGTGAAGGCAAGGGCCAAAGGTCCTGCTAATGATAGCCTCGACCCCTCCACACTATACTGGGGTCACACAGAGGGGCAGTAAAGCACAGGCTGCCTGGATAAAGACATTACTGTCAGAAGCACTGAACATCACATGGCTCCTGCTTCTCTGTCCACCTCCACAATGAGGCGGTTTCTTACAGGAAAAACACAAACCAGGCAATAAAATAATGAATGTAGCAGACAGGGGCACTCTTAAAATCAAAACGTGGTTTACACAAGAAGAGCTTACTTTATTTGTATTTATTTGACAGCTGTCGCTACTGTACAGACAGATTTTACTTCCAAAACACCTAATTAGATAATAAAATAAGAGTTCTTCATTAAACTGTGCAACAATATAAAGCAGTTTATTTGGTTCCACCCCATCTAGCCATTAAAATGACACCGGCACATTAATGCATCAGTAATATATAATACATTACTTAGGTCAGTGTTAGAAGGAACGGTCTTCAAGTTCACTTCGACCTTACATGTAAAGCAGTAGTTTCATAAACCATTGCTATTTTAATTTTACACATGATTTGAATATTTTCCACCACTGCTTAAAGTGCTGTCCTACTGTTTTGACATGTCCATCTAAAAGAAAGCTTCAACACTTTACATAAACAGTGACCGCTCTCTAACTGATAACACGTCAACTTAGCAAGGTAGTTTGCAACTGGAAGCAATAACTGGCTGAATTTTTATTACTATTTTTCAATATAAAGTCTAAAAGTTGCTTGCAAGGTTTTACAGGGAAGCTTTTCACAAAGATTTTGTCTGATCCAGCCAAAACAACTTCAAGTCAAGATGCAGGATTATGTAACACACCACAAACCAAACACTTATTAAACATCACAACTTGACATTTATTTTTCTACTACACATTTTTTCCACACTAGTTAATTATACTGACTAGTTACTTGTAGTCTTTGGAAAACCCACAGATGTCAAGCTTTAACACATCCTGTTTTATACAAACACATACACAGCCCTTCACAATAAAAGCCGCCACACAGAGTGCACACAGCAAAAAACACATTGCAGAGTGTAGAACAAGACGATGAGAGGTGGAGGATCATAGAGGATAACACACACACACACACACACACACACACACACAGATATTCCCTCTCATGAACAAACGTATGCATTAATGCCGACACAGTCTGATGGCACACAATGTTTAACTGAACTAAAATATCAAACCAAATGTTTTGCTGTGAACTCCATAAACCAAATTAAGATTCCAGACATGCACCATTTGATGGACTAACCTTCTTTTTTCAACAAGCAAACACACACACAGTTCTTTCAGTGCTGGGTGAGACTAACGTGTCTACAGAGGAGCTGAAGTCAACACCAACTTAATCACATATGGCCCACAGCTGACAGTGAGCTTCAGCTCATATCTAAAGGATTAGTGGGTGGAATTTTCCTTTAAGAGAAGTTTCCACCCATGGCGGCGCTCTTGTCACATCCCACAGCCTTACACTGTTTCTCCCACGGCTACACAATCAGCTGTGAGAGCCCGGACACTTCACACACTGATGAGATGGAGCTATTTTCAGCAGGCGTTAGAGGGGAGCTCTCTGCAAAATGTGTACAGTGTGCGATTCAGGGGGAGCATAGTCTGTAATGTGTGTATGTGTAACTGTACAGTGTTTACATGCATAAATGTGTGTGTGTGCTTCGTCTACAATACAAACTTATACTGACATAGTTCTTGCTGTAATAAACTCATTTTTAAAAAATATGTGCATCAAACTATCATCAATGATTTTACTGGATGTGACTTGTTTTTTGGAAGCACAAACAAAACTTTACTTTTGACACAACTTGGACAACAATAAACATTAATACAAAACTAACTTTCAGAAAGCTGATTTTGATAAAAATCAATGGCTGCCAGTTAAATGCACAGACACATTTAGAAAAAGAACTAGTGAAATACCAAAGAAAATGATTTGCACTAATGTTTATTTGAAAATGTTTGCTGCTATTTCTAGTCCTTAGAAGCTCTGATAAAGGGCACCCGTCACTGTCCTGGGGCCCACTACCATAAGAAAACCTCCCTCTCTGTTTTGTGGATATATGGTCCCAACACCTGTCAAAATAATGTTCTGTTATACAGCAGGACACACAACAGGGATCTCCAGCACTGACATGACTCAGATCACTGGTTTCTGACCTTTTTGACCTCCTTAAATGAAGCAGTATCTACTTGTGACCCCTCGTTACAGGTTAGTGTTTTACTAAGGGGCCTTGCAGGCCTCTGAAGCCTAGAGGAGAGGGTGTCTTCACCGCAGTGGGTCCCCAGCTGTGGAATAGTTTTAAATCTGCATTAACTACCTTCTCTCTCTAATTGTGAGAGTCAAAACAAACTCCAGCAGTACCCCCCTCCTCTTCTTTCTTCCTGCCCTGTCTCTGAAACTACATCATATGCGGTCATGACAGCATATGGCAGTCGGGTAGCGCAGCAGTAATAACGGGCTCTAGAGCTAATGTTCACAGAATATAGAGAACGTGGTTTTCAGTGGCATTGCAGCGACACAATGTCAAATAAAGAGGTTTACATTTTAGCGATATCCATACCTATGTCTAACATTGTTTGTAGCAGATGTATGTGCAGTAACACGAGCAAAAGAGAGGGATGTTCTTTCCCAGTAATAATGTTCTGCCCACGATCGCATCATGTTCATTCAATTCAAAGATTTTGCGAGCACCTAAATGCTGAAAGCTTCCAAGAAACATATCAGATTTATCTCAATCTCCAACACTCTCATCACTGTCATATAGCTTCTCTTCCTGCCACTGATCTGCTTGTGCTGAAACCGAGACTGAAAAACCATTATAAGTATGATAAATAAATAAAATCTCTTGTGCTGTTTATACAGGTGCTGGTCATAAAATTAGAATATCATCAAAAAGTTGATTTATTTCACTAATTCCATTCACAAAGTGAAACGTGTATATCATATTCATTCATTACACACAGACTGATATATTTCAAATGTTTATTTCTTTTAATTGTGATGATTATAACTGACAACCAATGAAAACCCCAAATTCGGTATCTCAGAAAATTAGAATATTGCTGAATACCAATACAAAGAAAGGATTTTTAGAAATCTTGGCCAACTGAAAAGTATGAACATGAAAAGTATGAGCATGTACAGCACTCAATACTTAGTGTGGGCTCCTTTTGCCTGAATTACTGCAG